TTATAATATCCCATTACCCAATTGAACCTAATAAATAATGTGATAAATCAGAATAATAGAGATATTACAATTAAAAATTAAGTATCATCCCTACCGTCATTACTTTTGGAGGATACTGTATATGTTGGGAAAAAAAATTTACTAAAGCATAAAAATATTGATTGAAGAGACTTTCATTTGTGTTTTAAATATTTTAATAATATTTATAAACAATATATTAAAATGATTTACTTTTATGCTTTTAGCATATCGGCTAAATGCAGAACATATGGTGGTGGTGAAAAGTAATGCATCACTTTATTTTAAATTTAAAGTACAAATTACTGTAGCTAGCAAAATGCATTTATATTTGTTTTAAAGGTTGAATCTCAAACTATATTTTAAAAACAATTTTTTTGCCTAATTCATAGCATAAAACTTAAATAAATAAATTATTTGATTTGATTTGTAAAATTATGAATTTTTGAACTTGGACAAAAATCATTATTTTATAATGTGACATTGTTTTTGGATCAATAGAATCGAATTAATTTTTACTGTAGCCTTTCTAAATTAAAAAGTTGAAAATTCATAATTATACAAACCAGACAATTTAAGTTTACGCTATGAATTAGGCAAAAAAATTATTTTAAAATATTCTCTGAGATTCAAATGCATATTGCTAGCTACGGTAATTTATAATGCAAAAGTGATGCACTTCTTTTGAGAGCCACTGTAATTAATGCATTACTTTTTTCACCGCCACTGTATGTATATCTGTAGTTAGTAAATTAATCTAGAATAGTGTAACTAAGCCAATTTACGTGATAATTGAGTTCTGTGAAAAAAGATAATTTTGTTTGTTTAAATGATGCAAAAGCATTTGTATTATAAGGAATAATTTAAGTCGAATAATTTTATTATTTTTTTGATTGATAAACGATCGTATTAAAAGTGAAAATATTATATTTGTTTGCAAACTTATCAAACCAACGTGATGATAAATAATAGTTTAAGTTTTTGTACCAATTATCCCAACCTATTAAACAAAGAAAATAAAACCTTTCATTGTGTGTCGATTATTGTTTGTATTGAATAAAATAATTTTTTCCAGAGAACATCTTTTTGATTTATTCCGGATTCTTTGTTTGCCGTTTTCCCCACTCATATTATTTTCCAAATAAGGAAATAGGCTTCCTATCCTAGTTTAGCTTGTGCATTAATTAATTCCTTTTATATCAAGTTCATTTACCTAACATTCTGTGTGGGGTCATACACCTCAATGAAAAAAATACAAATCCACAATAACATTTTATTTGAAAGTTATTGGAGATATGGAACTTAAATGAATTAAGTTATTTCATATTTACAATCAGTTTTAGAGTATCGACACATCTTAAAATTCACGAAATTAATTGTCTTTTTCGATTAATGTCCCCCCCAAAAAAATCAACGCCTTGCGCCGCGAGCCCATCTTGTAGATATCTTAAACTTCGTCCTTTCTTGATTTTCTAATTGTGGAACATGTAAAATTGGTTGTAAAATTTGTGATTCTTGTTGTTGAAAAGGCACGCATTGTCTTTGGTTTTCATTCGAAATAGTAGTCTTTTCGGTCAATTGTTTCTTTACGATGATAGGCTTGTAATTTATTATAGACATGAAAATTCTATGGACGATAGTCTCATCTGGATAAAAGAAACTTGGAGGGCATTCGAACGATAAAGGAGTTATCCAACGTTCTCCAGTTCTTGATTTTGTTCCATCAGGAGGAATAACGACTGAATAAGTGAAACCGAAAGGAACTTTTAAGTGTGAACAACCATTTCCTGTACGATATACATATTGAATTTTTTGACAAATTCTATTCCGAGTTTTTATAGAAAATCCGAATGATTTTTGTAATAAATTTGTGTCATCTGTTGGTTCATTTATTTGATGTTGAAATTCCTTCGTAGAAGAACTTTTAACGTTATTTAAAGATATTTTGCATATATTTGGATTTTTTATTATCGCGGAATGATAATATGTTATTCGGGTGTCAATTTTTGGTTGAAAAACGAAGTTTCCATTTTCTTCATTTACATGATTAAATTTCATTGTAATATTTGAACGCCATTTGTGTTCTTGTTCAAATGTTAAATTCAAACCAACATTTTGCTCCTTGAATTTATCGGCTAAACATACACTTGCTAATCTTCTAAAATTTTTACAAGTGCTGCTAAGCGATAATAATGTTGTAATATCCGTTTCAGCGAAAATGATAAGTAAAATTTCAGTTGAGAAAACTTTTAAGGGTGAATTTGTTTTTGAATACATTTTTTTTTTTGCTGAGTTGATTGAAAAGGATATTCTTGTTCTTTTATAGAGTAATGGAGAAAACGTGATTAAATTTATTAAATTTAAACTGGATCAAAGATAAATTTATTATTTATTTCTGATTCCTTTTTTAGTCGAACAATTTTTTCGGTTTCAAATATTATAATATTAACTAAATATGTCTATATACCTGTATTATCACTGGTTTTAATTTTTTTATGTTAATGGCTAGCCAATTCGGACGAATTTGTAGTAATTTACTGCATGTTGTTCAATTATGTAAAATCCGAGTTAATATACTGTTAAATAATTCCATCGGGTTTTACAGATGCCATAATACACCGTACATACGTGAAGAAAATGACATCATTCTCAAACAAATACCAAACAAAGAACGGTTTGCCATTTATTTTGAATTTCAACTCTTCTCGAGATTTTAAAAATAAATAATTCGGACCTTAAGGTTTGAACAAAATAGTCACGTTTTCGATTTTACAGTATTAAAGTATAAATAATATTGTAAATATGGTAAGATCCACAATTTATATGCACATGATTGAGTCAATGAAATTTGGAACAATTACAACTTCAGTGCATTTGTTTCTCTCACAAAAAATTGTTTTTGGTCTCAACATGAATGTTTGAATTTTATCAAGTTACTTATTGATTTGATTAATTTATGATTAAAAATAAATATATATGGACAAAATTTTATATTAAGTGAAATGGATTCAATTCTGGTAGTCCTTTTCTTGTCGAATAAATTTCTTGATTTGTTTGTAGGCGCATTGTTTAATTAATATCTGGCGAAATCTTCCGAGTGACCTTCTATTTTGGAAAATGCTATAAATAGGTTTGTTTGGATCGACAATAAGTATATTACTTAATCAATTACATTGACTTTTTGATTAATTTGATTGGCCTTTACTCGGCTTCTAGACCTTTAGCCTAATTCAGTAATTATAATAAAATCATTTATATTAAATTACACAGCATATAATCATCGTTCACGTGATCATCAATCCAAATATTTTGTGGCTTCGAATCTATCCTGCATGCGTTACGAAAGAAGATAGAATTAAGACTTTATCAGATCAAACTGAAGATGAAATAAAAAATAGAAAATTCTAAATGTGATATGTCAATCGTAACAATATATTAATAAAAAAAATCACAAAAAATATTTTTTATTTTTTAAAATAAAACTCTTTTTTAACAGACCAACTTTAATAATAAGAAAGATGGCTATTATATAATAAGATCTTTTAAAAAGAATAAAAAATTAAATTTTTAAAAAATGTTATTATTCAAGTAAAAATAAAGCATAGTAAATCATATAACAAAAGTGTGATTTAAAAAGTTAAAAAATATTCATTGTTAGAAAGCTGCAATAAATAAACAGTAGTAATATAATTATATTTTATTAAAGTTTATACTATATAATACAATAAATTGCGTTTAAAAATTAGAAGCAAATGTAATAAATATAAGAAAACAATATTATAATTAGAATTTTAGTACTAGTTATATAATTATAATATGGTAAATATAAATAAAATTTATAATAATTATTATATAATAATTAGGCAATTAAAGGTAACTTTTAATTATTGATTATTTAATTTATTTGTAATTTTAGATCTATCCAGAATATATAAATAAAATAGTTAAAGAGATCTTAATAAGAAAAAATAAATAAAATATAATATAAATGATTATTTCTTTTAATAAACCATTTCTTCTATTTTAATTAATTACATTATATTTGAATTTTTATAATTTTATTTATAATTTACATGTATATAATATTAAAATAACTCATTAAGTTTTCATATTTAAATGAATAATTATATAATTTAATTTAAATAATTATATCTTTGATAATAGATGGGAATAGATAATAATAGTGATCAAAATATAATAATATTTATTTATGAAGTACAAGAATGCTTTATAGTAACAAAAGAAACTCTAAAAAATTTTGTTTAAGTTAAAATTATATCTAAACTTATTTTATTAAAAAAATCATATATAACTTATAAAGTAAAATTGATCTATATAATAATAGAGAAATGTGATTTAAAGTAATGAGTCAAGATATACACTTTTTCACAATGATGATTCTTGTCAAGTTTAACGTGAATTAGAAACTCACTATAATATTAAAAATTTAAATCCTTCTGTTAAGTATAGTAATGGTAGAGTTACGGTATTACTAAAGATGGATACCATAATTAAAATGTTGCAACATCATATAAATTTTTTAATAATTATAACATATGTTATAATTTAAAAAATGTTGCAATTTAAAATATAAGGCGCAATTAGTCACAACTTAAAGTATAAGACACAATTAACTGCAACTTAAAATATAAGTTACAATTAGCCGCAACTTAAAGTATAAGATCCAATTAGCTGCAACTTAAAATATAAGACACAATTAAGTTGCAACTTAAAATAAGTTATGCATAATCAAATGTTGCAAATATTATAATTGTCACAATTAAAATCATATTAAATAAAATGGTGTAATTTGATAACAGGTTATAATAACTGATAAAATAATTGATAATCAGCAATTTATAATATCTGATTAAAATTTTTTGATAATCTTTAAATAATTATTTTATTATTTTTCTTTTAAAGAAACTTTTAAATAAATATGAATAAAGATACTTTAAATTTTTTACCATTTGTTGATACTGAAATATCCAGTATTTCTTCAAAAGATACTAGTGAAACAAAAGATAGTAAAAGTAAAAAAAAAGGAAGTGGAAGAAAATTTACTTAAGTTTGGGAACATGTAACTAAAGGGATAGAAATAACTCGTGAACACTATAAAGCTACTTATATATATTGTCATTTTGAATAGGCTGAAAGTAGACTACAAAAAATGCGTCAACATTTAGCTTCTCATTGTGAAAAATATCCTAAAAATATAGCACATATATTTGCAAAAGAAGTTGCAAACGAAATAGTTATTTTGAATAATGAACAAACATCAAAAATTAATACAAAACGTATAAAAATTGATTCAAATTAAACAAATATGCATCAACATTATGATAATAGTAAAATAACAAATAGCAGACAAAAAATAATAGATAGTACGTTAATTAAAGTATTTGTTTGTTATAATATAGCATTTGCTATAATTGAAAATCCTTTTTTTATGGATTTATTAAAAATTTTATGTGGAGAATATGTTATTCCATCAAGAAAAAAACTAGCAACAGAACTTCTTGAACAAGAATTAGCAAGAATTAATCTACAAGTTGAAAAGGTTTTAGAAATTACAAACAATTTAACATTAGGTAAATATATAAATATATAAATATTTATTATTTTATTTTTTAAATAATAAAAGAAAATAATAACAATAATATAAAATTTTTAATTTAAAAAAAATGATAAATATACAAAACAGTAGCTATAATAATTATAATAAATAAATAACTAAAATTTTAATAATTTAAATTATAGCACTAGATGGATGGACATCACCTACAAGACGTTTTTTATGGAATTTTATAATTCTTATACCAACTCGAGAAGAATATTTATTTCAAATTAAAGATTTATCTGAAGTATCATATACTGAAGAATTAATTGCAGAAGAGATTCTTAAAATTCTTAATAAGATTGGTATTAGTAAATTTTGTGCAATAGTAACCGATAATGGGCCTAATGTTTTATTAGCACGACAATTAATTTCAGCACAATTTCCAAAATCTTTAATGTTCGATGTATTGCACACTGTATGAATCTTATTTCACAAGATATCTTACAGCATAATTTTGCAGCAAAAATTATAAAATATTGTAATATTTTAGTCAGTTATTTTAAAAAATCACATCAATGCGATGATTTATTTGAAAAACTAATTTTAAAAAATGAAATTTTAAAAGGTGGGTTAAAAACATATGTTAAGACTAGATGGATTACTGTTGCTGAATGTACAGCATCAATTTATGACTTAAAAGTTGTTTTATCGAAGTAAGTAAATATTTTCTAATATTAAAATTTAATAATTTATTAATAATTTTAATATTTAATTTTAATAGATCTATGAAAAACATCATGATAAAATAACAAGCGAAGCTGTAAAATCAATTATTAATAGGAGAGGTTTTTTTAATGATGTTGAAGCACTTACCAATATATTACTTCCAATCAAACAAGCAATATTATTTTTAGAATGAAAAAAATGCCAATTTAGCAGATAATTTTATTGAATTATTAAGAATTGGTATTTTGTATCAAAATTTATCAAGTTTTGATTATAATATGTTTAAAAATTATTGTATAAAAAAATACAATAAAAGGTAAATTTTTAAAGTATTATTTTATATTTTATAATAATAATAATAAATATTTATTTTATTTATTTTATATAATTATTAGATTTAATGATTTTAACAATGATATTTATTTAATTGCCTTTTTTTGCATCCACGTTTTAAAGGTTTATATATTTTTTTTTATAATTTATTATTTAATTAATAATTTTTAATTATAATATTTAATATTTTAATATAGGATTGGGTATTCCTGATATTCATATACCAGAAATTTTAATAAAAGCTGATAATATCTATAAAATAATGGGTTATAAAAAAAAAGATTGTAGTGAATTAATTAGTCAATTAAGAAATTACAAATTAAATGAAGCACCATTTAATATGCCTTATCTTCATGGAGAAGATAATCCATTAAAATAGTGGAGCACATGTTTTTCTGCAAAAAATCAATTGCAAAATTTTGCAATTCGATTATTTTCAATAAGTTCACATGCAGCAAGTTGTAAAAGAATATGGTATGTTAATTTACTTCATTATTAAATTAATTAAATTTGTTATATTAATAATTTAATATTTCTATTTTATAGGTCTTCT